CCCATTTTACAAAAAAAAAAAAAAGTCCCCCCCCAGTCAGGCACCCCATCCCCCTCCCACTCTAACCCAATGCCCTCCCCTCCCCCAGAGCCAGGCACCCCCATGCCCCCACTCTAACCCAACACCCCTCCCCTCGAGCCAAGCACCAGACATATGATAACCCTGCCTTTGAAGTGCCCTCTCCCTCCCTGGCTTGTCTGCAGGGAGCAAGTGGGCCACCAGCGCCAGGCTCACTGCATGGGACTGTGCACTCCCACCCCAGCCCAGCACCCCCCTAGCATGGTGTCTGGGGGCTACTTCCCCTTTGCCCCCTTCACTACGCCACTGATGTGGGGGGGGGTCCTTTGGCTCCCTGGCTTGTCTGCAGGGAGCAAGTGGGCCACCAGCGCCAGGCTTGCTGCGTGGGACTGTGCACTCCCACCCCAGCCCAGCACCCCCCTAGCATGGTGTCTGGGGGCTACTTCCCCTTTGCCCCCTTCACTACGCCACTGATGTGGGGGGGCGACCTTTGGATCAAAGCTTATTGTGCCGCTTCACCGCCTTTTAGCTCCTCTCTGCAGCGCCACGGGGATGGAGTGATGGGGATGTGTTGTACTGAGCTGCTGGTGGGGGTGGGGGCGGGGGCAATGTGTGCCTCCAGGTTCAGCCGCCCTCCACGCTGGAGCACCCTGGGGAGGCTGCTGGAGAGGAAATGAACTAGAAGAGGCGGCCAGGAAAGTGATTTTTTTTCTCCCCGCCCAAACCCGCCCCCCAACTTGGAACTGCCCTGGATCTCACCAGAGCCCCCGCCGCAGCCACACGCTTTCCCCGCCAGGCGCTGGGGCATGTGCACAGAGCGGCTCTTAACATCCAGGCACGTGGCTCCGAACGTTCAATCTGACAGGCACATGCCGCTGCCCCCTCCCTGAGCACTTTTGTGGGGCAAAATCCCTAACGTTTTTTGCCAAATTTCACTTGCGTTAGGGTACCCCCCAGACTTCTCTTGCATACCCCTAAGAGCACGCGCACCACTGGTTGAGAGACACTGATCTAATCACCCCAACAAGTGTCTGTATAATCTGCTCTTCTGCCTTCTGATGTCGTTCCTAATAGAGCACCCCTGGAGTGGGCATCATTAGGGTCTGATAGGAACGACATCAGCCAGAAAAGGACTGGCACCAGCACCTAGACACTCATTGTGTGCCGAGTTTCCTTGCTCCAGGGCCCAGGGATTCTAAAGGACCTGGGACTTTGGGTACTGCCACTGCAGCAGCAGCGCTGTCTGGAGCCCTGGGCCCTTTAAATTGCTGCTGGAGCCCTGCACAGCTGCTCTGGTCAGCACTAGGAGTTGGGGGAAGGGGGCAGGCACAGTCAGTTCCATGCTTTTCAGGGGGAGAGGGACAGACTACTGATTTTTGAGCATGAGTACACCAAAACTGCAAGAGTCTCCAGTAGAGCCAGGCCAAAAAAAAAATCAACTTTCATTCACCAAAAATGCATTTTAGAGTACGTCAAATTATTTGTTGTATTTGAGTTGGATTCAACAAATTGTTTGTCAGAATTTTTTTAAAGACTTAAAATATTTTGCTTTGACTGTTTGGTTTGAAATGGGGCTTTGATTTTAAATTTGTCCAGCTTTTATTTTAAAAAAATCAAACAAAAGGCAAAAAAACCCACCTGAAATGACCAGAATGAAATGAAAAATGCAAAATAAAAATTCATTTTGAGTCAATTGAAAAGTTTTGGTTGATGCCAAATATTTTTTTCTTTTTTCAATTCAATAAAAAAATGAAAAATAAAATCTTTTGAATAGGACTTTTTGGTCCCGATTTCTCAGTTCATCTGTGATGTTGTTTGCTAGCTCAAGCCCTGCACTGTCCTCGCTATGTCCAAATACCAGCCTGCATGGGTGCTCACACCCATGGTGAAAAAAGCCACTGTCCTAATGAAGTCAGCGCATCAGGAGGCTGATGAAATGAGGGCCAGATGTGCAGTCAGCAGAAAGCATCAAGTGGCATTGCTAGGGCCTGGGGACACGGGCAGCATTACCTCTATGTCACAGATGGGAACTGCCTGGTGCCAGGTGGAGAGATGAACTGGCTGGTTTTGCAGGCTTGTTCATTCAGCAAGGACTGAAATCGCATCTTGCACTCACACGACAATTGCTCTCTGCTTCCCTGGCTGACAATTGGGTGATGCTTCATTAAACAGCTCCTAAGGTTTTATTACAGCCTGTGAGCCACAGGAAGG